TGGGTAATACGAGTATAATGGTGACTAAAGGGTGTTTTTTCATGTCCTCTATGCTCTAACTACGAAAATATTTGATTTACAAATAAGGAATCCTACTTCACGGAATTTCATTTATCACGGTAGGGTCTAGAACCGATTAACCGCGATAAACGAGGGTTCACTGTACTTATATATCTCAACTGTACAATTGTGCATTACTGAACCCGCGACTAGCGGTAGGGGCTGGCCCCCCACCCCACTCCAAATTTGATTTAATACTATACCCCCCCACCCCGAGAGATACAGAGAACAGTAAAACAGGACATTAGTTAAGACAGCGGAGCAGAGTGGAAGTGCTCTGTCGGCTTTTCTGGGCTGTGGGCCTTTGGAAGCAGATTCACAAACAAACTCCCTGCCATCGAGTCGATGTGGGCTCAGCAACTCTACAGGACGGGGTAGAATGACCCTGTGGGCTTCTGAGACTAACAGTTGGTTGGAGTAGAACGCCTCAGGCACTCTGGGTGGGTTTGAACTGTGGCCATTTCTGTTCGTATAGTCCAGTGCTCAGTCATCCGTGCCACCCACAAGCTCCCACTAGACTTGGTTTGTAATTCTCTAAGTGCCGAGTTCCTGGAGGGTGGGAACCATGTCTTCGTCACCTTTGCCTGTTGTGGGAGGCCTTGACAGGTGTGTGTCAGGTGGATGAGTGAGTGGCCTTGCCTTCACCTTCAGGTCATCCTCGTCTATATTAGTATCGCACCGGGGACTCTTCTTTGGAGTCCCGGGCTGGGCACTGGGAACTTGTTTTCAGGACTCTCCATTTGTGAGTCCTGAGAGGCCCCCTGAAACTGTTCTTATTTTATTTGGTGGGGGGCCAGGGGGGTGGCTCATCCAGCCCAGTGTCCCAGAGTGCAGCCAGAGGTGCTTGGCATGTTACCGTATTCTGCAAGGTGCGGCCTAGCACTTGACCGATGACTGAGCTCCTTGTCCACCCAGGACCACCCTCCTTTATGTCCCTGCTGCCTCAGCACACTGATGCACGGTCACCGGCCTGCCCGGGCCACAGAGGGTGAGGGTGACATGTCTCACCCGAGGGTCACCCGGCCTGCCCCCGGAGCCATGTGCCTGAGCAGTGCTTGGGAAACAGGTGCTGCCTGGCTTACTGGCAGCACCACCTGTGCGTAGGGTTCCTGCAGCAGCTGCCGGGTTCTCACACGTGCCGGGCCCAAGGGAGCTGAGGGACACAGACGTGCACCTGCCGTGGCAGTCCCACTCAGCAGCTCGAGGAAATCGCCCAGGAGACAGATGCCCAGGCTGGAGTGTCAGCTGTGCCGTGGATTGAGAGCATCTGGATCGACTTCCAAATCTGGCTCATGCAATCCAACCTGACTAGGGAAGCTACGCGGCCTTCGCTCCTCAGTCCTCGACCTGTAAAATGGGCACAGTGATGGAACTGGCTGACAAGTCGCGGTGGGACTTTAACGAGATGATGTTTTCACAGTGCTCCGAACAAGCTTCTAGCAAACTAGGGACTCGGTGAGTCAAAAGCGCGCCTGCTCATTTTTCTCTTATTAGACATTTTGACCTGTTCGCAAATACGGAGCTTGAATACCACATTGACCTCCAACCGCTGGGCGGGGGGCCTGAGCTGGGCTCTGAATCAGGGCCAGGGGAAGGGCTGGGCATGTCCTGCCACGCCCCTCTGCTGGCCCGCCGTGCCCTCTGACAGGATGGCCTGGCCCTCCGTGTAGCACCCAAACCCAAACGTCAGACGTGTCGGCCACAAATCCACTTCCTAAAACATCCCAGTCAGAACGGTCTTCCGAGAGCATCTCACAGAGCCCGCAGAGGACGCAAGCCTGCAGCAGGCAGGAGCTAGGCCCAGGCCTCCAGCTGGGCGGCTCTGCTCTCCCCATGCACTTGACTGCCCCTCCTGTAGTCAGGCGACCAGAGGCCACTTGGCCCCCTAGCTGTGAAACTAGCTCCTGCCTTTCCTTGCTGTCAGGTAACCCTCCTGGGACTCACATGCCCCAGGAGGGTCGGGGGCAGTGTGAGGCCCTGCCCGGCTGAAGCACTCAGACTGTGATGGGGCTGCTGGTGCCACCAGTGAGGCTGCAGTGCCGCCGGCAGCAGCCAGGCTTCCCCTTCCAGGCTCAGCACCCCCACCCCTTGCCGCCCCCTGGGGAACAGGGAGCTCTAGAGAAACTGGAGAGGCCCCCGCATCCCGCGCCTTCTCGTTTTCCTGATGGAGGCCCAGGCTCATAGAGGTTAGGTAGCAGATTACAGCTTCCAAAGCTCTGCAAGGCTGAGGGAAGAAGCCGTTATCATAGCATCGGTGCCTGACACCTCCCTGGCAGTCAATGCACAAAAATAATGAGGACACAATGAGCCTCTGAAGGGACACAGGAGTCATGCGGAAAGAAATGGGCCGGCGTGAGGCAGAGTGGTACATGGTGGGCTGTGAACTGCAGGGTCCGCAGTTTGAAACCCCCAGTGGCTCCATGGGAGAAAGACGAGGCCTTCGACTCCGGAAAGCATCACAGCCTCGGATGCCCACAGGGGCAGTTCTGCCCTGCCCTGCAGGGCGGCCAGGAGTGAGCCCTGGGTGTGGACCGAGGGACTCCGTGGAGGCTCCTCCCCCTCCTAGATGGAGAGTGGCCCCCGTACTTGTGGTCTCTAGGCCTGGCACGTGGGAGGCCTCAGGGAGCGTGTGGAGGTGACATGAAGGACTTGGGAGCCCTGAGCCTGTGAGGCCCCTTGTCCTCTCAGCTGCCAACAGAGGTCTGGGGCTGCGAGATCCACGGAGTGGCGTGCTCCCTGGGCCAGGGTTCCCGGCTGGGTTAGGAAGGTTACCCATCTCTAAGCCGACCCTGGCCCGGGAGTTCTCCCGACTGTCATGCCCAGCAGCAGCACGCGTGGACTGCTCTCTGCTGTAGCGAGGCGCAGCCAGCCATCGGGGAGTGGGCCGGAGAGAAAACAGAGCCCACGGGGCCAGATCCAACACCGTCCCCTTCTTCCACTGGCCTTCCTTTCTCTGCCTTCTCTGGCTGCACGTCTCCATGCCCTTGTCTGGTGAGGGAGGAGACAAGTGTCCAGGAGATGCTTGGTGTGTGGCAGGTGCTCAACACGTACCGGTGGGATGAGCAAATGAATACATGAAACCCAGACCGAAGGAAGAGACAAGCTGACGGATGCGCGTCTATTTATTGGCACAGGGTCCTACAGGGCCAAGACCACCCCCTTCCCACCCTCTTCCCTGTAAAAATAAACTCTCCCCTTCCCACTCCCTGTAGATCTGCAGCCTTTCTGGACCCAGGGAGAAGTAGACCCACTAAGACTTGTGCCCTACGGTATAGGCACCTACACACCCTATGGGTACTACACACGGCCCCTCAGCCGGGGAAGCAGGGAGGCAGAGGGCAGTCTGACAGGTGTGAGCAGACTCGGTGGCAGCGGCATGGGAGCATGGACGGGGCAGCCTGTGGAGGAGTTGTAGGTGGCTGAGTCCACTGGCAAGTGAGCCCCGGGCAAGCTGCCTCTTGGGGAAAAGGTTGGGAGGCACCCCCTTCCACCCTCCCCAGACTCTGGTCAGACTGGGCAGGCCCCACGACCACTAGGCTGAGCCAGGTAACAGAAGAGGTGGGCACTCCTGTGGAAGAGCCTGGCACCAGAAGAGGTGGGCACTCTCCCGTGATACCCTCCCCCCACCTGCTGCAAGTCCCCTTCATGTAGATACCCAGGTGAGGTGACACAGAAGGATGTCACAGTGAATGTGGGGGCTCTGCTGGAGGCAGGGACACCCCCAGAGCAGAGGCACGGCGTGGCTGAGGAGGGGCTGGGGCTCGTGACATCTATGGCATGGAGGGGCTCAACCCGAGTTTGCTTTCACCTGGTCCCCAAACAAACCACCTCACCAGACCCGGGGACAGATGCCCGGCAGGCATCTCCCCCTTCCAGGCCTACCACACCTCACACAGCTGCCCTGGGTTCATGGGGGAGCCGACAGGGCAGCCGAAGTGCCGCAGGAAGTCGCGGGAATTGGAGAGCGTGCCCAGCACTCGGAAGCGAGCAGGGCTGTGCGGGTCGGTCACCAGCCCCTCGTGAGAGCTCTCTGGTGTGCGGACCGAGCACCACACCTGTGGGCCAGGACAGACACAGGGACAGATGGTGTCCAGTGTAGGGCGGGGCCACAGACCTGCTTCAGCAGAGCCATCCCAAGGGCACAAAGTGCTGGTCCCCAGCCCCCAGCTTGGGAGGGTGCTCGTCCTGCCTCCTCTAGGTCTAGGGAGACTAGTGAGGGCTCAGCCAGCACCTGTACCCCCCAGCTCCTCTGTCAATAAGAGGAGGGGGCACACCCGCCCTCCCCAACTCCTTGAAGGCCTCTCGGAGCTGGGTGGCCAGGACGGCCCTGCCTGGGAGACACAGGCAGAGACCTAGAGGAACTGGCAGGGGATGAGGTGGGGGATGTTGCAGAGTTTGTAGAGGGGGCCCTGCCACACTGGGGAGTCTCTTGTCTCCCCAAGTGTGAACATCCTGTCTTTCTCGCATCCCAACTCACTCTCTCTACTCCCCATCCCTTGCGCAGAGCAGCCCTGCCCCCTGAACCTGTGAGACCCTGTGGAAGAATTCCCCGCTTGCCCCTCAGGCTGCAGACCCCAGCCTGAAGGCTCTGGGGGTGCCAGGCCTTCTCAGCCCACTTCCCAGGCCCTCCCAGGTCTCCGTGTGGCCACACCTGCATCAGCAGGAGGCCCGAGCCCAGGCTTCCTCCCGGGAGGCAATACCTGGGCGAATCCCACAAAGAAGAGTTGGTGGTTGGTGAGCCCCACGGCCGGCAGCTGCTGCTCCTCCCCGTGTTTCCTTAGCCACGCTTTGTAAGCCTGGGCCAGGCACAGGGCAGCAAGCCATCAGGGGTTGCCCACCTCCACCCAGTGCCCGTCCCACCACTAGGGTGGGCTACTCACGTTGTAGGCAGCCTTCAGCCCCCCGTTGTCAGCAATGTTCTCCCCCAGCGTCTGCCGGCCGTTGAGCCTCTCCCCGTTGACCTGGTACTGGCTGTACTGCTCCTGCATGCAGGCCGTGTGGTTCCGGAAGGCTGCCAGGGACCCATTCTGCCACCAGGGCTGCAGGTTCCCGTCCTTGTCATACTCGCGCCCTGGGGAGGACTCACCTTTGCACCCACCAAGACAGACCTCAGGCCTTTTAGCAGGAGGGCCCCATCAGCCCTGGTCCGTAGACCCCAGGCCCCCTTGCGCATGGCCCCAACACCCCAAAGCACTGCAGGAGCCACTTTAAGCTTCAGGGACAGTTCCACAAGCCCCTACCCTGGTCATCAAAGGCATGTGTCAGCTCATGGCCCATCACCACACCGATGCCCCCAAAGTTCAGAGCCCTGGACGACAAAAGAAGTGAGCGGTGAGGATATGAGAGGGAGGGGGGGTGTCTGACACCACCTCCCCACTTTTTAGCCCTGTTCCCAGCAGGCCCAGGCCCAGCCCATGGCCCCCCTCACTTGAGGTGGTTCCGAGCATAGAAGGGAGCCTGCAAGATGCCAGCAGGGAAGACGATCTCATTCTTGGTGGGAAGGTAGTATGCATTCACTGTCTGGGGGGTCATGCTCCACCTGCGGGAGAGGGAGGCTGAGCCGCCGGGGTGGTCCCCACCCTCCTGACAGCCCTTTGGACCTGTCTCCTGCCAAGATCAGTGTGACCGCCCACTCCCCAAGCCCTCCTGCTGCCCCATCCTCACTGGTCCCTGCTGGGAGGCTTGCGGAGCTGGTCGGCCATCACTTTGGCAGAGAAGTTGTACAAGTTCAGCATGTTCTGGAAGAAGGACTCTTCAGAGACTTCATACTGTGGGGGCAGCGTGCAAGAGGACGTGTTGGAGCACAGAATGGGGTGCCCGCTGAGCCGTCAGCCAACACCACCCCGAGCCCCAGTGTCCTCAGCTATAAAATAGGAGCCTGGTTATCTACTATACAGTATGACTGTGACGATTAAATGTATCGCATACACAGAAAGAAAATTAATAATTGCCTCTGTGTAAAGAACAGGATATTGCAGGTGATTACGCATATACACACATATCTACACATATGTATACATGTGTATACACGTATATCCACATACACTGCTCCCTTTTATTCTTACAAGCAGTGAGAATTGTTGTGCTAATTGTGGTTAGCTGCTGTCGTGGGGTTTGTTCCGACTCGTAGAAGCCCAACATAAAACGGAACAAAAGGGCGGCTGGCCCTGGACCCTCCTTACAATTGTTCGATTTGAATCCATTGCCGCAGCCAGTGTGGCACTCCATCTCCTCGACGTCTCCCTCTTTTTCGCTGCCCCTCTACTTTGCCAAACATCATGCCCATCTCCAGAGACTGGTCTCTCCTGACAACGTGTCGGGAGGACAGAGTCTCGCCATCCTTGCTCCTAAGGAGACTTTGCCACTAACAGGGTTCCGCTTCGGCAGATGAAGCCACTGAGGTTTGGTGAGGTGACTTATCCGAGGTTACACTTAGTTATTTAGGGGTAGAAACAGAAACAAGCCCTCACTCAGGCTTCATTCCAAGTTCCTGACTTATAGACACTTTTGTGGCCACCTGGCTGAAGCCACCAGCCCTGTGGACATAGCAGTTACGGTGTTCAGGCCTCTCTGCTGGAGAGAGACGGGGCAGTCTGCTTCCAGGGAGTTATACAGCCGTGGAAGCCTGTGGGGGTCCCACTCGGTGCTACAGGGTCCCTCTTAGAATGGACTTGTTGTCCATGTGTCTTGTAGCCAGCCAAACACAGAGTTAGCACTAAAGAACCAACAAGTACCTCCTTCCTGCTCAGCACTTGGACCCCAATTACTGAGGCCCCCAAACAGTGTGTGTGTCCCCACCCCACTGGGCGGAGGTCAGCACTCACCCCATCATAAATATCATCCAACTCTTTGGGCTCCAGGATGAAGTCTGGGAAGCCAATCATGTCATAGAGGGCGTCTGCCTGGGGAGACCGACGTACGGGTGTCAGCCCCTTCAGGAGCCCTGGATGGCACGCACGGGGAACTCGAGAGGCAATTCCAGCCCACCCAAAGGCTCGCTGGAAGAGAGGCCTAATGAACGTGCTGCCGCTGACACACCAGGTGTCCAGGAGCCAGCGGGAACTCAAGGCAAATTGCTGCCTGGCTAAGCTGCTCCACACCCACCTCAAGGTGGCGCCCCAAGCCCAGCCACCACTCACTTTCTCCTTGGCTGCCCGGCGGGTCTTCTCGTCCATCCAAACCAGCTGTCCCAGGGCCTCCTCAAAGGCCGTCCGGATCTCCCCGATCATTCCCTCGGCCTGTGGGGTGCGGGGTGGGGGAGAGGGGGGCGTCAGCCTCTCGCCTGCACTCAACACATCATTCTCCCCCAGCACCCACTGCATCCCAGGGGGGCCCCCCTGGGAGCGGCGGAAATATGAGCAAGCTGGGGAGGATGGAAAGAAAAAAACGGTTTTGTGAAGGTCTTGGGGTTGTGGGTGGCTTCCAGACCCCCTGATGAATGAACATTTTAATGGACAGTTGGTTCAATTAATACAATTTTAATATAGCATATTGATTTTATCTGACAAAAGGAAGCCTTAGAAACCTGATAGGTGCTGAGAGGAGAGAATAGACGTGGTTTATAAGCCAGCTCAGAGATAGCTTCTTGTAGCATTTTGATGATCTACTTCTAAGCGTCTGCTCTGCCCAGATGTAGAAGTATAATGTGGAATTATGCTGGATAACATATATGTACGAGAAGATATATTGCAGTCTGCTTTTTTCCACTTAAAAATATATATATCATCAGTTTTAAGGCTGCCTCACAATCCAGGTGAACCACTCTATTTTCCCACTCCCCTCCGGCGGGACACCGGCCCTGTGTTCATTTCCCCCTAAACAGCTTTGCCTCGACCATCTTTTTAGTTCATCCTTTAACTAAGTCTAGTATCATCGCCCAGGAAATACGTGATTTTCTCCTAGTTACAGAGGCAATATAAACGCATTCTAGAAAATATGGCAGATAGAGAAGAAAATTCAGGGACATCAAATTCCTCATGATCTCACTACCCAAAGGCACCAAGTGATTTCTTGGTGACCACCGACGGTATTTGCTTCTGGGCAAGCACACATGGGTGAACTGTGAATTTCCAGTCGGCAAGAGGCAGTGTTGGAAAGAGTTTGGCCACTCACGATTTCCTTGCTTTGCCGGTCAAAGGTGGCCTTGACGAAGAGGGAGCCCAGCGCAAAGCCCAGGGCGTCGTCCGTGTTGGCGATGCAGGTCTGCCACCTGGGCAGGCAGGACTGTGGGGGACAAACGGCCAGGTGTCCAGAGCCAGCTGTCCTCAGTATGAGGGCCTCTGTGTCTCGGGGGCCAGCTCCCCTCCACCTGGTTTTAGCATGCCACCTCTCCTTGAGACTCATGGGAAAATGGCGGGCACCTGTCAGCATGCCAGCTCAGCGATGACACCTTTGGGGAGCCGATGTGCAGCCCAGTCGGGACACTCTCCTCCTCTAAGTTTCCAGGAGGCCCAGTGGGGCCCAGAAGTTTCTGTGCTTAGTTCCATACCTCAGTCTTATCACAAGTTCCCTGTGCCAGAAACCTGGGAGCCATCCCAGCATGCTCCATCTTTAACCCTATATTCCACGCATCACACATTTCTATAAGGACACCCAACACACTGTCCGTGAGTTGGTTCTGACCCACAACGACCCGATCCAGGGTTTCTGAGGCTAAAACTTTGGTCATCATTTCTCCCAACCTTCTCATCGCCACCGCCCTGCCCTAGAACACTGTCATCTCTTGCCTCAAGATTGCAGGGACCTACCAACTAGACATTCGGACTCTCTTCTCAGGGCACCCACGCCCCGCCTGAGAGCTGCATTCACCTAACCAGGACATCCGGAGCCCCGGTGGCACAGCGGGTTATGCACTGGGCTGCAAACAAGAGGTAAGCAGTTCAAAACCACCAGCCATCCACTCAACGAGAAAGATGAGATGAGGCTTTCTACTCCCGTGAAGAGTTACAACCTTGGAGAACCCGCGGGGCTGCTCTATGTGGGAAGCAGAGAACAGGAAGAGTGTGTCTACGGATGAATCCTTTGTCCTCATATATGAAGAAGCCTGGCAGGCTGGGTTTCTTGGGTGGAGGGAGACCTTCACCCTTGTGTGTTGGAGGTGAGTCCCAATCACATTCCACAATTAATGTGGTTCCCCACTATACCCTCCCATCATAGTGTTGTCTTAAAGTGACCTCTTACAAGCACAGGGCTGATTGCTACATGGCGGCAGCTTTAACTACAGGAGCAGACACTGTCCTTTCGCTCTCTTCCCGCCCTGTCACCCAACCCCCTCATACCTTCCCCCAATGTAGGTTTTAGTTTTCCTCACCTGTGAGCTCAGGGATCTTAATGTAGATACCACCCACCTTGTGACACATGTAACTACTGAATATGCATGTCTTAAGGCTACCTATAAATGTCCCAAGACAGTAAAGGCTCATCTCACTTCTCCCAGTTCCGCGTGGTCCATCAGGAGGAGCTGAGGTGAGCATGCTACCATAACATGTGTCTGACTCCTTTATTTTACTCTCTCTCCTATCTTTCTCATCCTCTATGACTGTACTGTAATCTTTATACATCAGTGCCGTGCATTTGCACCTTCTGGCCCTTCAACTGTTGGAGGCTGGTTTCCTCTGACTGGTCTATCCTGTCCTATAGCAGCGGTTCTCAACCTGTGGGTCTCGACCCCTTTGGGGGTAGAACGCCCCTTTCACAGGGGTTGCCTAAGACCATTGGAAAATACAAATATTTCACAATGTATAATTACATATTGCTTTGTGATTAATCACTATGCTTTAATGATGTTTAATTATGTTCCATTTGTAACAATGAACGGACATCCTGCATATCACATATTTACGTGACGATTCATAACAGTAGCAAAATGAGTTAGGAAGTAGCAACGAAGATAATTTTATGGGAAAAAAATAATTTTATGGGTGTGTGTGTGGGGGGGGGGTCACCACAACATGAGGAACTGTATTAAAGGGTGGAGGCATTAGGAAGGTTGAGAACCACTGTCCTATACGGTCGCCAGGACTCAGAATTGACTTGATGGCACTAGGAGAACCATGTCACTCCTCTGCAGACAGCCACCCCAGGGGTTCCCGCCTCTGAAAGGCCACCGCTCTCCCCACAGCGTCCTAGTGCCTTCATGGACTGCCCACACCCCCGCACCAACTCGCAGCTCTGCTGCCCTGTGCCGCGTCCATGGTCGGACCAAGCACAGCACATCCATCAGGCGGGGGCTGGTCTCTGGGGATTCGAGCATGCAGCTCCTTCTGCCTGGAATGCCCTTCTCTCCTGCCTCTGACTGAGTTCATTTCTCAAATGTCACCCCCACTGAAGAGCCATTCCCATGCTGCTCACCTTAGTCCGATAGCATGGAGACGGTTCACACACATAGAGCAAGCATACTTGTTTACCGGGCCCCAGGCCCCACCTTGCGTGGCATCTTGAAACAGAGACCCGCACATATTTGTCATCTCCCTTATGAGCATCCTCAAAGCTGACTGCCTATCCATACCATGCCCCAGGCGGGCACTCACTGGTGTCAGCCCAGCGAGTCTCCATGACAACCCTCCAGGTGTTCCTCCTTTATACACAGGGAGGGAGTGTGGGAGAGGTTGGGTAACTGGCCCAAGCTCGCTGCGGTCAGGTTGATGCCGATTCACAGTAACACTGTAGAAGAGGTAGAACCGTCCCTGTGGGTTTCCGAGACTGGGCTTCTTTATGGCAGTAGAAAGCCCTGTCCTACAGGCTTAGAAAACTCACAGAATTGAGATCGGAGCCCCATCAGGCTTCATCCCCAGGCCCTGCACTTCAGCTACGCGGTGAGGCCAATGGCGCCTGACATCGAGAGCCCACCTTCTTGGTGCCATAGAGGGTCTCCAGCAGCTTCTCCTGTGCAGACTCAAAGCGCCGGTCCAAGCTCGAGGTTGTCTTCTGCACCAGGTTCCAGATCAGGTAATTGTTCAGGACACTGGCCGGCAGAGGCAGGCGTAAGGAGGGGCAGCCCAGGAACGTGCCAACAGTCCTGAGAGGCACGTATGCCAGCTGTCCCAGAATCCCTCTCTCCCACCCTGGCCCACACACCTGCCTGTGGGAGTCAGGTTGGAGCAAGGTGTGGAAACAGAGTCACAAGTGGGCAGGCAACCACCCTGAAACCCCACCCTCGGGAGAAGGGCCTGCAGACATCCCGTGGGGATGTTTGAAGGCTCAGGACCCTCATCAAATGCTGCTCTCTGGCTGCGTCCGTCCCTGGCCAACATGTCCAGAGCCCTGAGCCTCCCCCTCTGCATCTTGCATGCCTCCCCACCTTGGCTCCGTGCGGTTGATGAGCTCGGACACCTGCTGCAGATACCCCGTCCCATACACCACCACAGGCTCCAAGTCACTGAGCTCCAGGGGAGACAGCAGGAAAGACAGGAACTCCAGCCAGTCCACGGAGGGCGCCAGGACCTAGGAGCCAACAAACAAACCCCCCTCAGCACAGCCCTCCTCTACTGGCAGGCGAGAGCCCTTCCCACTGCCATGACAACAGGTGCTGGCTGCTTAGTGACCACTTCCAGCAATAAACCCTCTGCCAGGCCTGGGTACCTCAATCTGGGAGCCCAGCCGCTGTCTCTGTGTACACAGGTGGAGTGTGCTAGTCACCTGGGGCACGGCTATTCAAATATTCCCTTAACAGTGAATAAAATGCGACTCACCTGAGGGCCCCAGGGCACTGCAGCCTGGGCCCCTTCCCCAGGAGTCCCCCACACTTCTCTATGATCAGACAATGAAAGGGTTGGTGCCTGGCTAGTAAGCCTGCTCTAGGGTCTGTTGCTGGGTGGGCGTCTTGCACAAGATGTCCAGGGCTTTTGGCATCACCCCTCCATCCATGCCCCCGTGGCAAGAAAGGGGCCAAAGGACAGCCCAGGGACAGGTGGCTGAAAACAACACCATCTCTTTCCAGGAGAGTGACCAGGGTTTGGGAAGCAGCGACAAGCAGGCGATGAGGATGGGCCAGGGGCTGGGCAGTCTGTGTTGGGGCTGGCCCTTGCCATCCCTCTCTGGTCCCCCTGCCCACCCCACCTGCAGCTCAGCCACGCTCATCTTGTGATAGATCTTCTCCTCATCGCGCCGCTGGTCCTGGGGCACAGTGATGTTGGCCAGCTGAGTCTCTAGCTCCAGCACCTGCTGCATCTGCTCCCGCGTGGAGGTGGGCTGTCCACCCAGCAGCAGCCCCAGCTCCTCCATGTAGTCCAGGTAGGCCGTGAGCACCTGTCAAGGCCCGGAGTAGCCCTCAGAGCTGACCAGCAAGTCCTGCTGGAAGCCGGAAGGCTCTCTTCTGCTGACCCGGCTGGAAGATGTCTTCCCGGGCCCCCGTGGCATTTCTGCCGCAGTGCTTTTCCCTCTCTGTGGGAAACCAACACTGATAAGGAGGACTCTGGAAAGCTAGTATTCCATGGTAGGGAAGCGTCCACTTTGGTAAGTTAGAAATTAAGTCCAGGTACGTTATCCTTCTTTAAATATCGTCCCCACAGATTCTCCCCTAACAGCTATGTGCCTTAAAGTGAGCACACGGTTGATTTTCTCTTCCTATAGAAGAAGCCATCCTTTGGTTCTCTCTTGGAGACTGGCTGTGTTACCTTCCCCCTATGCAGGTATTAGGGTTCCTCACCTGTGAGCTCAGGGACCTTAATGTAGCGACCACCCACCTCGTGACTCATGGAACTGGTTCGAGCTCTCTCCTCCCAGTTCCACGTGGACCGTCAAAAGGGGCTGAGATGAGCATGCTACCATAAAATGTGTCTGACTTTTATTCTCTCTCCTATCGTTCCTATCCTCTGTGATGTCACTATAATCGGTATATGTTATCACTGCACAATTGCGCCTACTGACCCTTCGGTGGCTGGAGGCTGCTTCCTCTGACAGCTCTCTGCTATGATCTGAGCATTTCCTTCTCCTCTCTCCCCACGGTGTGTTCCAACGGAGCAGAGACCAAGCCGGGCTCCCTCATCCCTACGCCCCCACGGCCGAGCACCATGGCAAACCAAACAACCTCTGTCTTCAAGTTGACCGGCTCAAGGTGTCCCCACGGGTCCTCAAGGCTATGGCCATGAGAGATAGGCCAAGCCTTCCTTCCGAGGCACCTCCAGTTGGGTTCAAATGGCCCCCCTTTCCATCAGTGGTCAAGAACGTCCCTGTAGCATCGCCCAAGGAGTTAGATGTTCCGAAACTATCTGTCCAGGGAGGGGTCCGCTTCTCACACGTGGCCTCCCCCTTTCCTAAAGCCCGTGTGGTCCTCCCAGATCCTCAGGGACCACAGGCCTCCCGTCCACCTCCCATCCTTCCAGGCCTCCCGCTCGCTACCTCCTTCCACTCCCCTCTGGTCACCAAGGGGAGAAAAGCACAGCAAGAAGCACTGAGTGCCTGCTATGTGCCCATAGGAGCCCTGGCACGGCTGGACAGGCATCGCTGCGCAAACCGGCAGGCGCCCGCTCCGCAGGAGGAAGAGGCGGCTGGCTGTCTGCTCCTGTAAAGATTCCATCTCAGAAACCCTGGAGAGGGCCCTGTGAACCAAACGTGACTCCATGGCAGGGGTGTCGGGTCTTATGAGTCGGGCTCTGCTAGGGCTGACTGGGGATGTAAGTGGATCTTCTCTCCTCTCACAGCAGCTCTGGGTTGCCCCATTTTAAGGAGCCCTGGTGGCAAAGCGGTTACAGGTTTGGCTGTGAAACTGCAAGGTCAGCAGTTTGAAACCACCAGCCGCTTTTCTATAGAAACACAGGGCTGGATACTCCTGTAAAGAGTTACAGTCTCGGAAACTCACAGGGGCGGTTCTACCCCGTCCTGTAGGGTCACGATGAGTTGGCAGTGAGTCTGGATTTTGAGTCCTTAGCCAGATGAGGAAAGACGCTTCTTGGGAAGGTGACATGACTCAACAAACTTCCAGGTCACTGTAGAGTACAATGGAACCGGCCTGATGACTGGAGGGCCCAGCACAATCTCAGGTGGCCTCGCCCGCGCGGGACTGTGTTGGCTTTGTTCAGTAGGTGCTCAGGAAATGTTTGTTGAATGAAGGCAAGAAAGCCTGTAAGCAGACCCTCAGCCCTGCACCCCGCCCCTCCCTGAGGTCTTCTTCCAGGGACAGGGCACATTCTTACCCCAACACTCACCCTGAGCTCCAAACACTGCCTCCTTTTCCAGTTTACTAAGAAGTTCTGGAAACTTCACGCCCTTGCTCTGCCCTTCAGAACTTCTCTGTGACCCCCACCTCACCTCTTCCTGGCGGCTGGTGTCCAAGGCAGAGGCCCAAGTCCCACTTGAAGCCCCTGCGCTCAACGGGTGATCATACCCACTCCCTACCCCAGACTCCTCTTTTCTCTCCCTCTGTCTTTCTTACCTTCAGCTCAAGGCTGACTATGGACCCTTTCCCGAACCCTGCTGTCAGGTACTGAATCACGTCTCTGCTAAATAGGTGTCCTAATTCCTAACCCCCATTTCCTGTAGCTAGGCTTCCAGTTGTGAACTGGGCTTTCTTTGTAATGGGGAGGGGCTGCGTGTTAGCATAGGGTATGTTTTAAGCCAATGACCTTTCAGAAAGAAAAAAGAGTAGATTCTTACTGGCATCAGGTCATTTCCAACTCCTAGCGCCCTGATAGGACAGAGGTGTACTGCCCCTGGGGGTTTCCGAGACTGTAACTCTGAATGGGAAGAGAAAGCCTCGGTTTACTCCCATGGAGAGGCTAGGGGCTTCAAATTGCTGACCCTGCAGTTAGCAGTCCAACACAGAACCCCCAGGCTATCAGGGCTCCTGAAAAAGCAGGTTAGGCATAGAGAAAGGAGTAGAGATGGGAGAAGATGGAAGCTAGACCAACAAGGAAGCAAGGCACAAGAGCCCCCGAGAGAGAAAGGCTTCCCTGGGGCCGGTGCCCCGAGCTCCAACTGCTGAACTGCGAGGAGACCCGTTTCTGCTTGTTCACGCAGGGATCTCTGTGTGATGGCAGCATAGGTAACCAAGATGCCAGAATGACTCGACTGTTTTTATCCTATCTCGACATTTGATGGAAGAGGTGACTCTACACATCCCTTCCTTCCCACCTGCTCCATCCCAGGAGGCTCTCCTGCCCAGGACCACCAGCACCACACTGACAGCCAAATCCAAGGCTCCCCGCTCATCAGAACTACTTGGTTCCCTGCTGCCTTCTCAAAACTCCCTCTCCCCAGTGAACCAGTCAACTCTTTCAAAACCCCAAACCACGCACATCTGCTCACATCACTCTCCTCTCTCTGCCTTTTCCTTTCTACTTGGGGGTGGGGTACGGATCCCAAATCCTAAGCCCAATCTGAGTCTGCAAGGACTTGGTTCCCCCCTCACCCCCTTCTGCCCCAGTACAGCCTTGGCCCAGGCCTGCCACCCCCACTGCAGCCCACCCTCACCCTGGGGTGAGGCTGCCTCTGCTCCGCTTCCTCTCAAACCCAACGACTGTAAACAGGACCACTGTACAGTCGTTTCCTATCTTAGAGTGGGGGTGTCCTACCCCCCAGCAGTCCCCTCCACCCACTTTCTTTCTCCCAGGACGCTGAAAATACAAGAACCACAATGGACAGATGATGTTGCCTTGAGCTAAAACTTAACCCTTAAGCCAACAAGATCCCCTGAAGCCTTCTTCAAATCAAACAACAGTTTAGCTTAATTAGTAAGCAAGCCTGCCCTGGGCACTGTACTCCTTGACAGAACTCTGTGTGTGGATCAAGCGGACCCGAGCCACTGGGAAGGTTGGAGAGGAAGTTTCGGGGGCAGTGAGTTTAGGTTGAGTGGGGGTGGGGGTGGGGGTAACAATTCAGAAGAGGAGGGTGGGAATGGTGGTGCAGCTCAGAGACAGGCCCCGGCATCACTGACTTGTGCGTGTAGCAACTGCTGAATGGCTTATGCTCGGCTACGTATATTTTCAACACAGTGGAAAGAAAACAAATGACTGCAGAGAAGTTATAAGAATGTCTTCTCCCTCTTCCCCCTCTCTGCTCATCCCCTGTGCTTTCCCCTCGGTTAAGCTCTCTTCTGAGTTCTCTTTGAGTCACGTCGGGGCTCGCTGGGTCCATAAACCCGTCTACACCGAAATCCTCCTCTGGGAACCTGTTCTGGCACATGGTCATACCAGCCCTCGATGGCCGGCGAGTCCCCCTGACACCGAGGGCCCGTGTGTGTCGGGGTGAAGCCGCAAGGCTTCTGTTGGCTGAGATCGTCCAGAAGCAGATTACCAGAGCTTTCTTCCAAGGTGCCTTTGGCGGAGTTCAAATGGTTAACCTTTTGGTTGGCAGTCCTGTGTAATTGTGGGTGGCCGCCAGGCGTTTGGTGAAATAAGAAATCCATTGCCGTAGAGTTTATTCCAACTCACAGAGACACTCCAGGGCGGGCTAGAACTGCCCCTGTGAGCTTCTGAGACTAACTCTTTCTAGGAGTAGAAAGCCCTCTCTTTCTCCCTCAGAGAGGCTGGTGGTTTCGAACTGCTGATCTGTTACAGATCGCAGCCCAACGGGTAACTACGACACCACCGGAGCTCCTCAATAGGACAGAGCAAAACTGTTCCTTAGGGCTCCGAGATGGTCTACATGCACAGGAGCTGACGGCCTCATCTGTCTCCAGCAGAGCAGCTACCTGGTGGATTTGCCGACCTGCAGGTTAGCAGCCAAAGTGTCGCCGTTAAGCCACCAGGGCCCCTTAGGCGCATGGCTCACTCACTCACTGTCATCGAGTCAATGCCTTCCCACAGCGATCCTACAGGACAGGGTAGGTACCTGGCAGGTGCCCACAACAAGTCTTCTGGATAAGTAAATGGGAGAAGAGAAGGCGGGACAGAGGCCAGCAGGATAGGCTCACCTGCTCCTCTCTGACCCTGGGCCAAGAAAAAAGGTGACTGGGGGAGGGAGGTAAGCCAGGAGGAGCATGAAATTGGGGTGGGGAGCTGTTCCTTACTTTCTCATTGGCGGTCTTGTTTAAGTAGTAATCTCGGGAAGGCAGAAAGAGCCCAGACTGGTCCACCTGCAACAGGAATAAAAGGAGAGGCTGCTCCCACTAACCTGCACTTGTGTGCCAGCCCACTGTCTGGGGGAGGCGAGTCCCCAGGCTGGTACCTGGATGACGTTGCTGTTGGAACTTTTGGAGTCGGCGCTGATGTAGACGGTAAAGAAGGGGGTGGCCCTGTAGGTCCCTGCCACTACCTTCAGCACGTCCATGAAGCTGGCCTGGTCCCAGGGCGCCGTGATGTTCCAACCACCGATCTGCAGAGAGATCCTAAGTAGAACCCAAGGCACAAGGGCCCCTAAGCTTCCCTGGGCGGCATCCTCGCCCCGCCCCAGACCTCAGGCAGCCCAACCTTGTTAATGAGGTCTCTGAGCGGCTGGGCTCCCAGCTCCTCGATGCGTTCCACATGCAGGCAGGACAGGTAGAAACGCTGCGTCTTCAGCTCAGCTTCACTGCTAGAGTTGAAGGTGGTGTTTTCTGTGGGGTAGAGCACAGGGTCCAGTGGCAACAAGGTCAGCTGTGGATGGGGAGTCCACGGTCCCTCCCGTGGCCTTCTCCACGGAGGACAGTCTGCAAAATGCAGAACCAGGAAGACACTTCTGAGAGAGCCAGCAGGTGGTGGTCCCTGCCACCCCCACCCCCACCCCGCCCCCGTCCACGGAGACCCTCCCGCAGAGCTGTGGAAGCATCCCAGACCCTCCAGTCCCAGTCAACCAGAGAGTCCTGCAAACAGGGTGCTGAAGGGAACCCCCTCCCGAGATGCCAAGACTTCAACCCTCCCCACCCCCAACCGTCAAGAAACCAGGTCAGCTTTATAAACCCCTCCTGTCTGCATCCTCTACCTCAAGAATGTCAGTCATCACTTGTCCATTCATTTGTGGCCATCCCTTGAGAGCCCACGAGGTGCCAGGCCCTGTGGTGTGTGCTGGGCTCCATGTTGCCCCCCGCCACTCACCCAGCAGGTGCTTCAGTATGGCCTGGTTCTGGTCCCAGAGGCTGTTGAAGGCATTCCAGCGAGAACGCCCATCCGGTAGGGGGTGCCTCTGAATCCAGCCCCCACAGGAGAACTGGTAAAAGTCTTCACAGGGATTTACTCCCCGGTCCAAGGACTCCAGGATCTTCCCAGCCACGCGGACGCAGGCCTCTGTGAGGCACGTGCTGTGGGGTGGGTCTGTGGCAGGGATGTGGCCAGGGGGTAGGGGACTGTGGTCAGTCTTGAAGAGGCAAACACTTTGGGAGGGGCCATGATGGCAGAGAGGTTATGAGGAGAAATCAAAGCTGGGGAGGGTGGGGTTGGGGTAGGGGGAGGCTCGGGGGAAACCTGGTGTGGGCCTGGGGCAATCTTAGAGACCGTTCAGCCTCCAGAGCCGCCCTACCCTCCTACCCCCCAAGCTGCGGGGCTGGTGACAAGGGTGTGCCCACCTACCTCTGTGGTACTGGACCCCCAGGGCCACAATGCAGCCCAAAAGCAGGGCAGCCAGCAACAGAGAGACACCAGCCAGGACCAGCTCCAGCTGTGTGTGTGAGCCCAAGAGGGGTCTGGTCCCTTTCCGGAATCCCACCTGGGGAGCGTGGGGTGACAGAGAGGCAGAGGGTTTCAGCGCAGGGGACCCCGCGATCGCCGACCAGTCCTCCAGCCCTGGGGCACGGAGCGCTTTGAGGCCAACTTTGGACTCGGGGGGCCATGAGGCAGGCCTGGCGGAGCCCAGAGTCTGTTTGTGCAACGTCATGGTTTCGAGCGGGTTCGCCAGAAGCCTAGTGCAGAGGCCGGAGGCAGATGCCCCTACTGAGCAGCCAGCCCGACCTCCTGGGTGTGCAGACATCCTCCTGGGGCAGGGGGGCCTGGCGAGAAGCGAGGAACCCCTTGCCCACCTCCAAGGCGTCCGGGGAGGCCCCTCCCTCTATGGGGGTCGCGGGCGCATCTTCCTCCCGAAGCGTGGCCCGTTTGTACTCCACCATCTGCCAGAGTCGGGAAGGCAGGGCAGGTCAGGCGGGGAGGGGGCTGCTCGCTGCCCGCGTCCACCGACAGGGCTCCGCTCCCCTCGG